CAGGGATCCTACGAGGAACTAATGACCTTCGGATGATGATGGCCACTCCCCCACCCCTTCCCTTAGGTCGCGGCTGGTGAAGCACCTGAAAACCCTCTGGGTACATTTCAGTGAGGGGGACTCCGCCCTCCGGGACCTGCCAGGTTTCAGTAATACATGCCAGGTCTGCCCCCTCATCTAATATTAGGTCCCGGACGAGGGGAGCTTTGTGCACCACAGACCTGGCATTTAGCAACAGCAGCCTGAGACCAGGGCCCTGACAACTCTCGCCATCTGACCTTGGAGGGGAACTAATAGGGCCGGAAGGGGTGATCGCTGTGACGTAGTGAACCCTCCTTCCCTGGTAATGGCTAGCCCTGAAGTTCCTGCCGTACCTGCCCCTCCCCGTCATGACCATAATGTTCCGGCCCACCCCCGTGTCCGTAGTCCCCATTCCACCCCCCGTAGCAGCCGCTCTCTCTGGCACACCATTTGATTCAAGCATTCTAGGACTGGGATTGGGCCTGGCCCCCCTAACACTTCTGCAACAGCACTCAGTGAAGGAGGCACCAGGTTGTAATCCCAGTCCTCTCAGACATACACATCCATTCACCCAAGCAATCCCCACGTAGCAATTAAAAACACAGAAATACAACAATAATGGATTAATAAAAAAGTGGGCTCATTCATTCAGTCACACCCATGTCACATGCACTCCCCATACAAGTTAAAAATTGCGCAGCAGTGCAAGAAATTCATACAAAGCTTATGCTAATATGGAAGAGGGAGATAAATAATGAGAAAGTATGTTAGTGAGCAATGTTTCTGCTACTTTCCTTAAAATGAAAGTAACTTTTTTCTGGTCACAGGGACAAAATACATTTAATCAAGTAAGTGCAAAGTTATATTTCTAAGGATTTTCAAGCTTTTCCTTTGGAATGCTTGTTGTAAAGAGCATGGTGCTATGTTTTGGATCCTGGAGCTCTCCCACCCCCCCACCCCCTATGTTCCTCAGCCATATTTCTTGGCATTGGAAGTTCTTTGTAATCCATGTTTCTATCTTTTATTGGGGGAAAATCAATGAGAACGAACATGTTATAGAGGAAAGCACAAACTGAAGGTGTCCAGCAGGCCCCAAGGGATTTATAAAATAATGTGCAGTCCAGTGAGGGGTTTGGCTTCTGGTAAACTGACCAGAGACTGACCAGAGTCCTCTTGGGAATCATTTGGAGAAAATACCCTTCATGCTCTTTATTTGGAAGTATCCAAGTGTTCCCACTAACTCAAAAAAGGTTAGAGACTCTCGATTTAGATGTTCCTTGTGTTTTGACAACATTAGAGACTTGCTCAGGATATATATAAACTCAGTCATTCTTTATAACATGGGAACTACCACCGCTTATCAAATGAAATTGTACATTTTACTGGCTTAACTCAATCTTACCTTCCTTTTATGATTTTATTGAGGCTCTATTCACGGTAACTAGTTTTGAAAGGCCTCGGAATTGGTTTAGTACATGACACCCCTGGGGAGTTTTCTCAAGTAAATGCTGTTGTACCTTTTCATGAGGTCTCAAAAGAGTCTCGAGAAGTGATTTCATTTTCAAACAAACAAGAACAAACAAACGGGCATACCTGCTCTGACAAGTTGCTGCTGCTGTATTTTTTAGACATTCTTTTCTTCATGGTTTCTTTTACAGATTTCACCTTCTTACCCAGGGATATGCGGGAAGTCGAAGGAGATTTGATCACCTCTTTGTAGACAAAATCACCATCCTTTCCCTGTCAAAAGAAAGGGAAGTTGAAACAAAGAGCAGCTTCCCATCTTTATCCTTCTGTGGCCATTATCACACTTGGCGTACCTTACAAAGATTGTTCAAATTGCAGATTCCCAAAATATATTATTTATTTACTTATTTATTAAACAATATTTATATAGTTGACTAACTCACAGATAGGTCACTCCAGGCGGCTTACAACAAATTTTTTTTTAAAAATCCACCATATAATAAAAACCCATTAAAAATATCACCGACAGACACACCCCGTTCTGCATGGCAGCAACAATATAATCAAATCAGCCACTTGAAGCAGCTCCATCTCCATTCATGGTCCCTAGGCCTGCTGGCAAAGTCACATTTTTAGGGTCTTTCAGAACAGGAACAGGATGGGAGGCCAACTGGAGCTCAGGGGGAATGATGTTCCATAAAGAAGGAGCTACCACCAAGAAGGCCCTTCTTCATGGTCCCATCAGATGTACATTTTTAATCAATAGGAGTCATAACATGCTCTGCCTTCCCATCCTGGTGGACTGAGTGGATTTCCCTTTGACAATATTTGCAATGTTTTCCTTGAAATTCTTCTTAGTGGGATAAATAACGGAAGAAGGGGGAGTTAGTTATTACATGTTGACTACCCTATGATGCTTGTCTTCCAATTCTTAAGCCATCATTTAAAATGTCATTGTGAGTAATTGTTCAAACCATGTAGTATAACAATTCTGCTGGGCATTGAGCCAGAATAACCCACTATATACTAAGTGGGACAAATGTCACCACACAGCCAATATATTCAACTTAGCCACCTATATCGATTTTAATGTTATACTTATAGGCAGAATGCTAAATAACATAATTCCTGCTTGCATGCATTTTAATTTAGCAACACAAGTGGTATAATCCAATCATTTTCCATTAGCTATGTCTCTGCCAACTCCTGGAGAGAAACATTACAGTTGTACCCCACTCATAAGCTCCTTGTATGAAACTCATTTACATCAGTATTGCTCAGTATATATTGTTCTTCAGCTAACTTTCCTTTTTTCTTGTCCTTTCTTTTTAAATATTTTGGAAGTTATGAAAAGCTATTTGAAATGCATCTCACACCCTGTATCTGTCACTTGCATATTAAGATCAATTTTTGGAATACTCTTGGTTTTTGGCTGAGATGAACGCTTGTTTATAAGGTTAATTGTGTTCTGGCTGCCTAAATTCTATATAGATTTAACTGACCATGCCTAACCTCACACACATTTTCATCCCATGGCCATGTTAATCTAGTCACATGATGCTCAAGTACAACATCAAAGATTGCCAAGAGAAGCATAATATTGGTTTTAGGATAAGATAATCTGTCTTTCTGGGTTATTTTGTGATAATATCCCCATCAAGTAAAGTTATGTGTACTGAATAGGAAAAAAGAACATCTACTGTAGTTAAGATTACGTGACACTCAAAAGCAATAAGTGAAAAGGAGAATGGTCAAGAATGCTGGGAAAAATTAGGGTGAAAGGCAACCAGAACTGTTTTAGATTAATGATAAAATCAGGTGCAAACTGGTCCAGACCCAGTCCCATATTGTCAAAATTTAGATGCCTTTGGAAGTTCACAATGGCATGAAAATGGAAAGGCCTATCACCCTGGAATATATTTTTGGTGAATTTTCCATTCATATCACTGATAGGGATTTCCAAAATAATAATAATAATGAGCTGTCTGAAGAAATGCTTCACTTTGCACTTCTGGAATCCGTTTCAGAACAGTTTCATAAAATGGCTTTATGTTCCAGTATGGATTGAGAGAGAAAGATTCCTAAATAGAGAGATGAAAGTAGAAACAAGGATGGATAGAATAAATAGTGGACATGGGAGTTCCAAACTCTGGCAAGAACCTGCTGAATTGCCAAGTCTTCCTTCGTATGCATGTGTTCTATATATCTATCTTCCTGCAGCTGTGTTTCACCCCCACCCTCCAGAGACTTTCCATCTGGCCGGGGATTCAGTCCAGATGTTTTCAGAGACATTTCCCTTTCCCATCTATACAGAGATCACTCTGTGGCAATTCAGGAACTCGATGGTTTGAATTCACTTGGACAGGAGAAGGTTGTGTTTTAGTAATGGAATCACAGATTAATTTCAATCCTCTCTTGCCTGCCCTACTAAATCCCCAAACGCTCAACAAAACCACAAAATTGGCTCCTGGAGCAGGGAAAACCAATCTAGATACACAAAGGCGGGGGGAGGGGGGAAATGAAAGGGGAAAAAAACTTTGTTCCAAAAAAACAAGCAAAAGAACATCAGTCATTCATGAGAAAGACTTGCCTAATGTTAAAGGAATACTGTATTAACGTATCAGAGTGAAATTATGCATCGGTAACCATTTCTCAAAATAAGATTCTGTGAACACCACAAAGTCACATGGATGAGTTGCCATTCAGCACAAAAGGCAGCAATACCTAGAGACGAAAGGATGAGATCAACTCCCCATCCCTCTTTTTTAATTCAAGGCACCCAGAGAATCCCCCAAATTAGATCAGAAAAGCATTGCTTTCCACAATTTTCCTTTCTTGATCTACATTCTCCCTTGCACTCTTCCAGGTGAATTTATTTGTCACATGGCAGAGAGAACATATATATGCATTATATAAATAACATTCCTTCCTTTGTTTTTTCCTGCTCTTTCATCTGTCTAAATCCTGTCTCTTCTCCTGTCCACAGTTCATTTGAATAAACAATTCATTGGCAGAAAATCAAAAAGAAAGGTTTTTAGACATAACTTTCTATTATGGCAGTCTACAAGAAATGCAAATAATGCTCTTGAAAATGCAAGTTTCTCATATTATTTGTTGGTTGAGCATTTCTAATTTCTGCAACACAAATTAATGGCTATGAATTTTAAAAAGCTGCTTTGATTTTTATGTGTGAACTGCAATTATTTTGCGTTGAAATAGATAAATACTCAATAACATAAAACTGGCAACAGCCAGGAAATGTTTAATTTTGTCCATTCCTGTTCATCACACAGGACCAGTGATATGCATAGTCCTTCCAAGGACTAAACATGATGATCTTAGCTGCTTAGTCCCACTGCCAGATCCCTGTAGTCAGATTGGCAACCCTAAGGAAATGGGTGATCTATAAGATGATTTAGGGCAATAAAATAGAACCCAACATTTTAAACTGGAAGTTCTCAAAAGAGAATTCTTGGCTCAGTCTTATCTATTATCTACCAAACAACTTGTAACCATCTCAATTCACTATTGAACACTTTCTCAATGTGATATCCTTCCCAAGCATATGTTAAATGCTGTGAAAATATCTATAGACCTTTCACATCCTGGACCGAAATTATTTCAACTTCTACCCTCAAAACGACGCTATAGGGCACTGCACACCAGAACAAGACAAAAGGACAGTTTTTACCCGAATACCATCACTCTGTTAAACAACTAATTCCCACAACACTGTCAAATTATCTACTAAGACTGTATTACAATTCTTCTTATTCTTCCTAGTACCTATCTCTTCCCACTTATTATAACCATGTTGCTTGTATCTTTACAATTTATATTGTTTTATTTGTTTCCTAGTATGATTTGATTGCTTATTAGTAACCTATGACTATCATTAAGTGTTGTATGTTATGATTCTTGATGAATGTATTCTATTTTATTTTTCTTTATGTACACTGAAAGCATATGCACCAAAGACAAATTCCTTGTGTGTCCAATCACACTTAGCCAATAAAGAATTCTATTCTATTCTATTCTAAACATAAGCAGCAAAAAATGGATACAGGATGGAGCTATGCTCCTTACATCCTCACATTTTCTTTATCTTTCATCCCTGCCTTTCTCAGCTTTGTTTGCAGCTGGAATGTGGGAAGAAGAACTATATATTTGCTGAAATATCAGAAAGGGACCTTCCCTTACACCTGAGCTTCAGCCTACTATGTTCATGGAATCCAAGATTATGCTGAGAGCTGTCCAAGTGGTCACAGATCCCCTTCAGGCCTCTTCAGTGAGAAAGCAAAGGTAGAATAAATAGAATGTGAAAAGTGGACTACTCTGCATTAGTCACTACACCTTTCCTAAACTGGCTCCAGTTTAGTTTTAATCAGCTTATTTTGATATACTTTATTCAGTGGATAGAATAATGATGGGGAGGATGATTTTCACTCATCTGATACACTTAGTTTAGCTAAATATTCTGACTGGCCAATAAAACCATGGCAAATATGGTTAGAACAGTTGGCTTTTAGTAGCTATCTAATTGTTCTTGTGGAATAAATCTGCTTTCTAATTGCCTAGGAAACACCCATTTCACCTGTCCTCATGTTATAATTATCATATGTAGAAAATAATATCTAACAAATGAGAACCTTCAGAAAAATAAGATTTCTTGATTTCTTGTTTGACATACAGACTGACAAGCTTCCTCTGAACTAAATTTTTATTCTTTTGGAATTTCAAAGATTGAGTAATCTTCTACTGCTTTCTAGCAGTACAGTACTTATCACTCTCATAATTTTATGACATTGTGCTACACATTCTCCTTTTGAATATAAAAAAATTAAAAATCATAATTTAAAACATCTACATCCAACTTTTGGGTTTGTCTGAACCGCACTGTGAAGAGGAATTGTTTTGGGCCATATATAAAATATAGTTAATGCATATAAATGCATGTAATAATGTTAAACGTTTATGATCTTGTGGGGCTTCATTACTAGTTGTCCAGGACTGCATGTGGCCCACAGGCTGCTCACACCCAATTTAAAAGACTTCAAAGTACAAAATATGGTTCAGAATTACACAGAGCATTGTCTGGCATTAGTATTTGCAGAATAATAAGCATTTCATATTTGGAGAGATACTTTTGGACATTCATTTTAGTGCTAATAATTTCCCCTAGTATCAACAAATTATTGAGGTAGTCAGAGAGCATCATAACAACACAATTATTATGCCATGATGTGGCTATCCCTACAAAGATCAAACTAGTGCAAACCATGGTATTTCCTGTGACACCCTATGGAAGCAAAACTTCAAGAAACAGAATAGAAAGTGTGTTTTCATTTTTGAACTTTGAAGTTGGAGGAGACCCCACCAACGACAGCCAATACAACAAACAGATCATCAAATAAATCAACTCACTCAAGACACAAATGACGATGTCCAAATCAACCTACTTAGGCATACTAAGGAAACCCTATCATTCTGGAAAAAACTATATTGCTGGGAAAGGTAGAAAGAAAAAAAGATGACCAGCAGCAGGGTAGATCAATTCATTTACAATGGGAATGGGTGTATCATTGGAAGACCTGAATGAATCAGGTTTGGGACAGATTTTTATGGAGAAAATCTATGAGTCACTATGAGTCAATAACAACTTGACGGCAATCAATCATAAAAGTATTTGTCATTGTTGGAAAATGATGTTTTTTGAAATGCAATTTAAAAGTACTGTATGAAGAAGCAGCTCAATCTATTGTAATTGAAAACTGTTGCTATCCTCATCGCTACTTTTATAGCAAATCCCACTGCATTTTAATTTTGAAACACATTACAAACACCACCATTTTGGCTGTATCTATGAATGTATCTTATGACTGAATGTCATACTCACAATTTGATCTGGACTGTTTCCAATGTGCAGTGAGCGATTTGCCAAATCAAAACCACCAAAGCTGCAGGTTCTCTGTGAAATAAGGCAAATTTATAACATTTTACCACAAAATCAGCATGCTGTCAATGTCTCAATTGTACAAATAACAGCAGCAAGCATGAAAAAATGTTCTGGATTATGTTCATGCATCATGTTCCCTTCCTGGACTTTTACTAATTATTTTATTGCTTCATACTGAGATCAGGATCTTCACTAAAGGAGAACTATTTCCTAAGTGAGTCATTTGGGTAGAGAATATTAACAACAAAATGTTCCACTTTATCGTAGACAAAAGCTTTACGAATCTTCTTACGAAAAACTTTAAGAATCTTCTCAATTGGTTGATTCAGTCAATAATGACATCTTCGATCTCTGAACAAACAACAATTTCCATTTGCAAAGACTCCATATCTGTAACCAAGGCCTGTTTGGAACAAAGCAGTTTTTGTACTAGTACAAGAGAGAATACAGTAGGTGATATGTGCAGTGGCATAATCTTGCAGAAGTAATTAGAGAAGAGAGTTGTTCTTAGAGAAACATCTCAAGCAAGAAACTGACATTGAATACAATAGTTCTGCTTGCCTAAACAGGTCAGCGTAATGACACTAATTTTCTTTTCAAAGCTGAAAAACACAGCCAAGTGAAAGCATATTTACTTGGTGCTTAATAAGGATCCTCATATGTAAAGTGTTCGTTATTGAAAAGACAGTAGCCTTTGGAGCTCAATAGAACTGCCTGGTCCCCTTTCAGTTTTACAATACAGATGTCTGCCTTTTCCAGAAATAAATTGGCTGTCTATTTCTATGTTTTGATCTATGCATTTACATCTTGTCCTTCAACCTTATTCCCTCTGTTTTTCTTCATCTTATAGAAAAACAGCAGCAGCAAATGGGGACATGATCATTATCCTTCATCATATACTTTGTAAATAATAAATGCTGTATATGTAATATCTCATTATTAAATCTGCTACCAATTAATACATTACTAAAAGCCAATTATAAGCTCTAGTAGGCAACCCATATGAAGTGTGTTTTTATCCTCATCAAACAAGCCTTTGCTGGTGAACATGTAATTGTATTTTTTCCCTGAAAACATCCATTTAACAAGAAGGTTAACAGCAAAGGAATGCTGTAACAATTTTAAAAAGTTATCTCAGAAAGTTTATATCATCTTTTAATATCAAACAAGGATTACATTTGGGGGTCTTCATGTATTTGTGTATGAACATGAATGCAGGCAGTGAGTATGTATGACAGCAGAATTCAGAGTTGGCATGGATGGTATATGGAATCATACAAATACACACAAAAATCCCTCACAGTTAAAAGTTGGCAATATGCTCTACACACACACATACATACACACACAAACACACACTATATTTCAAGCAGCTTTTTTGTTATGTTTGATATTGGACATATAGTTTATTCCTTCCAATTACTTCACAAAAACATGCTAAATAAAAACTGTAGATGAAGAGACTGTAGATTCTTAAATGAAATGATCATGCACATACTTTAAAAGTTCTAGGCATGCCTTTGGCCACTAAAATAAATGTAAATGCCCAAAACATATGTAAAAGCAACACATGTAATCAGTCCTATTGACAAGGGATGCCAAAGCTCCTGAGGTTGCAGTAAACATGAATTATGATCTCAGAGGAACACAGTGTAGAATAGTGCCTAAAATTCACAAGCAGGGCATAAAGCATCTGCTCTTTGTAAAAGGGCTTAATCCAAGTTTTCACATAAAAAAAGGAAGAGATATAGCTTTTTCTCCAACGATGCAATCCAACACACCCTAGTTATTATTTTATTTTATTTATTAGACCAATTTATATAGCCATCCCTCTCACAAGCAAGCAGTTCTGGGCATTGTACAAAAGAGCTAAAAGGAGTTAATAAATCCATTAAAAAGTATGAAAAACCAAATTAAAACAAAGACTAATAGACAAAGGGATGCTAACAATAACGGAGTACCTCACTAGTTCACCCATTCCTGGGGACCCCAACCCTGCTGGCATAACCAGATCTTGAGGGACTTTCGGAAACTCAACAGTGACAAGGGTAGCTGGTAGTGGGGGAGATTCAACAATCTGGGTGCCACAACAGAAAAGACCTGGCATCTACAGTTTGTCTAGTATCTTCCTAGCTGATGGACACAAGTTATAGCAGGAGTGTTTAAATGTGGCAACTTTAAGATCTGTGGACTTCAACTCCCAGAATTCCCCAGCCAGCCATGGTTGAACACACCTAGGCTAGACTCCCTATAATGTACGTAGCCTATGTCATATAATATAAGGATGTTCAAATCCTGCTACCAATATCGACAATACGCAGGAAATAACAGTAACAGACTTACAATCCAATAATTTGCAGGACAAAATGTATTTTTTTAAAAGTATGTTATTACCTCGTATACAAGCACATCATGTGTAGTCAAGTGAAAGTGTTATTTCACCATCTGAAATATTCTCTACATACCATCTTTGTCAAAGAAATTCTTTTAATAAAATATATTACAAAGTAGGGCAGACTGCACTAATATATGAAGCATTCGATGATAAATTATCCTAGGGGGAAAAAACCAGCCTTACAGTGGCTACCAGCCAACCGCAGCATAGTTTACAAGTTAGCAAAAATGAGATTTTGTCTGTCGGAATCATTTTTTTCCCTTACGTTTCTTGGAATGCTAGTCATGATTGCCTCAACCCGAGACCATGGTTCAAAAATACAATCCAGCTATGAACTTCCCAGATGGCTTTAGATCCCTGGCTTTCATCCTTAATTTCCTATATCTGAGCTGGGAATTAAATGTTTCACTTTACATTATGGACTGAAATCCTAATCACTGTACAGATCTTTGCCTGATGAAAATTAAGAGTGGCAATCTTTTCTTTTTTTAATAACCACTGAGAACTGTATTTTCTCAGAAGGAAGTTATTAATAGCTACACAATGGGTTGATGGTTGCATCCTCACTCAAAAAAATAGGTAAGATCCTCTTTCCCCCCTCTATCTCTTCTTCTTTATGTGTATCATTTTCATTTATATATCGATTTTCTCCTCAGTTCAGTGCTTTCCTTGCTCTCTTTTACACACATACACCAGTGGTGGGATTAATTTTTTTACTACCAGTTTTGTGGGCGTGGTTTGGTGGGCATAGCAGGGGAAGGATACTGCAAAATCCCAATTTCCTCCCGATCAGCTGGGACTCAGGAGGCAGAGAATAGATGGGGGTGGGGCCAGTCAGAGGTGGTATTTACTAGTTCTCTGAACTACTCAAAATTTCCGCTACCGGTTCTTCAGAACTGATCAGAACCTGAATACCACCTCTGACATACACCTTATTTCTCCCTCACCACTCCTAGTCAGCATACAGAGATAAAGAATAAAATGAGATTAAAATCTGAGTCCCTTTACTTCTTCCACCCCTGCATGAATCACAATATTTAAAGGAGTTAATGATGCAGAGTACACAGAAATATGATTTCTCCACATCACCCACTCATCACCACTACTAGTTTGGCAGCTGGGAAACCCACAAGTATGCTGAAATCACAATGCACAGGGAATTGCTTTCCCTGGATATTGTTATCTGCAGCATAATGAGCTGTTTGGTGGGCTTGCAGCTTTGCAACTGTGCCAAGAAAAGCAATGGAAATGATCCCTCCCACCTTTTCTTCTCTGGTGGAATTGCCTTGCTGCAAATCTTTCTAATAGGCTGGAGGAAATCAGAATTTGTTAAGGAGCAAAGACACTGGCAGAGGCTTAAGTTGGGCTGCTCTGATCAGAGGAGAAATATGGGAGTAAGCACAGAAAAAACAAACATATGGAATATTTGGAAAGTGCCTAAAAAACTTATTTTTATGAATAACTCAGGGTGGTAAACCTGAGTTTCCATTTCCTCCTCTTATTTTCCCCAGAACAACAATCCTGTGAGGTGAATTGGGTTGAAAGAGAGGGATTGATCCAGGGTCACCCGGCTGGTTTTCATGGCTAAGATGGGACTTGAACTCACAGTCTCCCACTTTTTAGCCTGGTGCCTTAACCACTATACCAACTGGTTCTCTCCATGTATTTAGTTATATGTTTATTTATTTCTTCTTAATATTGTTGATTCAAGCAAATATGGAACATAAAAGCCACTTTCTATCTGAAAACATACTTCTTGTATTCTAAAAGGCAAGGGCTTTTCCTTCAAATGTTGTCAGTTTAGGAACAAGGAGCGAGAATAGTATGTCTTAATATTTATTAGAATATCTAATTGGCCAATAATTAAGAGAAGGTTGAGGGGAGAGAAGAGAAGAGAAAGGCAATGAAATGGTAAGCCTTTCAAACATCATGATGAGGGGGAAAAAAACCCCAGCAATGCTGACTGCAACCTCATGGAAGCTTGTGGCCACCTTTGGTGTAAAACTCACAGACTTTTGGTGGATTCTCAAAAGAACCCTTTTTGTACAGCGATCGACTGTGGAAGCCCACTTCCTCTTTGCCGCCGCCTCTTCCTCCAGCAGGCACCGCCTCAACTCCTGTTCTTCACTTTTGCTCAAGGCTCTGTCAGTCACGGGCCGCACCAGATGTGATAGGTTGAGGTGACTGTACAGGCTTCTTTCCACCACATATGTGATATTGAACTCGCTGACTGAATTGCACCCTCGAAGCCTTCTGTTTGAGAAGCCACAGCTCCCACCTCTTCCTAGCCTCTTAGGTTTGTGATGAAGCAGCTGCATATCACAGATGGAAGGCGGGACACCTTTCCTAGCAGGACGCTGACAGAGAAAAGCTCTAGAACATGAATAATTAGGATCTGCCTTTTTTAACCGGATCTGCTTCCTGACACTCTGGATTTCCTCCAAAGATACCAGGACATGATGCTTGCACCTGCTGTCATAAAAGCAAATGCTTTCTTTACTTACCCCATGACTGAGAGAGCCAAGGTTCTTCATTTCTCCATCCGTTAAAGAACGGCAAACTTTGGGTATTTTATCCTCTTCTGGATAAGAAAAGAATGTCCCAAGTTTTTTGGGTGGTTTTATAAGGCCACGACTATCAGATTTATTGAAGGTCTTAAGCAATTTCTTGTTTGTACCCCAAGTGTCCAGGCTGCTGGATGAAGGAGATACGGTCAGTGAATCACTTTCGTTATCTGGCTGTTTTTCAGAGGAATTATCCAAAATGAATTGTTTCTTGTGAATTCCAGAGTAAAGTGCTGATCTTCCATCTGGTCCTGTGGGAGTGTCAAAGGAGTGATCATCCACACCTGAAAAGGAATATGCCACTATATTAGTTCTCACTAGCTAAACCGGTCATGACAAAAGAGAGAAGGGTGGGAGGGAGGGAGAGGGGAGAGAAGTATATCCCAAAGAGACGACTTCTTAGTCTTGTTCAACCAAATACATGTGGGGATAAGTTAATTCAGATAGTCCTTGACTTACGACCGCAAGTGAGTGCAAAATTTATGTTGCTAAGCAAGACAGTTGTTAAGTGAATTCTGCTCCATTTTATAACCTTTCTTGCCACAGTTGTTAAGTGAAACACTGCAAGTGCAGTAACCGTGTTACTAAAAACAGGGTTGTTAAATGAGTCTGGCTTTCCCATTGACCAAAGGTGATCATATGACCCTGCACATTATAACCGTCACATTTTTCAGTGCTGTTGTAACTTTGAATGGTCACTAAATGAACTGTTGTAAGTAGAGGACTAACTGCAGTTGAAGAATAGAAGAATCTGGACACCATCAAGGAATAAAACAGATGCAATAGAAGCAATACCGGCACACTGATGTATGTCTCAACAGTATTAGATGGTTTTTGGAAAAGGCTAACTCTCTGCTGAAAATAATTAACCTAACCTAAAATAAATTTCAACCCCCCCCCCCACAAAAAAACACCCCAAACGATAGTGAAAAGCTGAAAGGAATAGAATGTACTGTGCAAGAACAAATTCAACTATTTATATGTAGTTAATAAAGTAAAATGAGAAATAGATAGGAAGATCAAAGGAAAACCAGATATAGAAGACTGAGTTTATGAATGAAAAGGGAATGCAGTGAATGGTCTGTCAGTTTTCATATATTTAAAGGAATGTCAGAAGGAGCCGCCAGCAGTAGCAGCAGCTCTGAACAGAGCCTGTTTTGTTTCTATAACTGTGAACGATGCCAAAGAAGTGAATTTAAAATTAGAAATAGGTAGTTTGGGCTTAATATAGTGTCATCAATTGTGAATTTATTGCCTGTGACATTTGTGTGCAATCATTTTGCAAAACAGTGGACAGAATTTCTGTCTGAGGGAGTTTTCAAACAGAGCGTGCTATTTTAAGTAAGAAAGGGTGAAAGTAGGGAAGCAAACTTGTGTATCTATGATTACATGGAGGAATTAGGGAAAATGATAGGCATCATAACCCATCCTCTCTCTATATATACCTTTAGTCAAGCTGAATATAGTGAAAGTCATGTATGAATAGAAATACTCTATTTGGAGAGCTATATTTTAAAAAATTCCTTTCCTCCTCCTCCTGCTTATTAGTAGAGAGGGAAAATCCATACTATATTATGATATATTTATCTACTTTGACAGTAGGGACAAGATACAGACGGGAAAGAATCCAACAAAATACATTGAACATTTAACTTTTAACTTGAAAGTTCCAAATGTTTTCATTAAACACAAATCTTGCAATAGGTTCACTCAATGTTTTGTGCACTAACTTGATTCTCCTCTCAAGTAAAATCCTGGAAAGGAAAGTGTGCCCTGGGTTTCATCAACTCTAAAAAGGCTAATGTTGTACTTAGAAAGGTCACAGCAAGAAATGTCTACATATTTATAGAATAGCAAGAGCTACAACTCATTGTATGAGAAAAAAAGAAACACAAACATTCTTCAAATATTGGCTGGAAGAGCAGATAACTAAAAGATTAACTATACTAAAAATTAACAGTCACATTTTCACATTACAACGCAGACTTAAAACTCTGCAGAAAAAAACCTAACCTAACTTAAAATGATTGAATTCCAATCCTAACAATATAAAAAAAAAACCAATAGTGAAAAGCTGAAAGGAATAGAATTTACTATGGAAACCTCTTTGCCTAATGGCATCAGAGCAGTGGTGAAATTCAGCAGGTTGTGGAGAACTGGTAGCGGAACTTTTGAGTAGTTCAGAGAACTGGCAAATACCACCTCTGGTTGGCCCCAGAGTGGGGTGGGAATTAAGATTTTGCAGTATCCTTCCCCTGGAGTGGGGAGGGAATGGGATTTTGCAGTATTTTTCCCCACGCCCACCAAGCCATGCCCACAGAACCGGTAGTAAAAAAATTTGAATTTCACCACTGCGTCAGAGACATGAGGACTTCTCCAAAAAAGGAAGGCCAGAATGTAGGAGCAGTTATGGCATTGGAGGTTTGGGGAGTAGAGAAAATGGCAGATGTTGTGTTCTAGTAATCTGGTTCCAAACACATTCTGCTTTATGCTGGAAGACAAACTGGCAACTGGTGGAGTTGAACATAGGTGCTATGCGGTCCCTACAACTGGCTCCAATCAAAACTTTAGATTTTGAAGCTGATGAAGGCTGAAATGCTCCCTTTTGACTTGCAATGCAGTCATCAAAATAATAAGCTATTAAGGCGATGACCATAGCAAATGACCAAAAGGGCATTGGTCTCAGCTATAAAAAATGTTTTGAGTTAGAGGTGACATCCAACCCTTACTACAAATATAGTGTGCCTATGTATGTCAATATAAATTCCTATCCTCTGCTGATCTTTCTTCCCACACCAAATATGGATAAGCCTGCATAGCCTTAATTTATTATTTTAAAATTTTACAACACACACACACACACACACACACACGGAAGCCATTGAAATAGAGAAACACCCCCACAACATGAATAAACGTGATGATACCTCCTGCCTACCAGACATCTGGAAACTAGCCCTAGTCAACAAACGAGTCCCAGCCACGAAAACCGACACCAGACCCAGAACAACACAGGACACCACCACCAATCACCCTCACCAGACTCAAACCCAAACCCATCCCATAGACGAAATGCAACCACCATCCAGAAGCCAAACCACAGCGGCATCACCAACTGCTGCACCCCCCTCCGACCCCCACACAAAGCAAACTGACACACGCCATGAACACATGGCCAGACCGCAAACTCGGAGCGAAACCAAAGCCCGGGGTGTCACATCACAGCCATCTGCTCGGGAGATTACATCACAGAACTCAGGAAGTTACAACACAAAGGCTCAGGAGGTTATCTCCCAGGATGCTGCAGCACAGGACTCAGGATATCACTAAACTAGGGCTCAGAATGTCATCACACAACCCATTATCTAGGTTGTTACAACACAAAAGACTAATGGGCACACAGCTAATACCTCAGCCACACAGGATGTTATGAAACAGCTGATTAATCTGCATACATCAACTCCATCAACTAATCAAGATGTAACAACACAGCCAACCAACCCACTTACAGCAACAAAGCCAGCACTTCACACCCACCTACCAATATTTATAGAAAGACGGCAGTTCCAATTGTGCTCTGCTTGCACAAGCATGAAGCCGAAGGCATCAGCCTGAAGATGACGAGTGGGACCTCGTCGAAACGTCACCAAGATACTCTCAATCTTACACGGGAAAAGACCTGAATACAACAAGACCAGCATACCTACACTCGTGAAAAATGTACGAAAACACACACACACACACACACACACACATACACACACATAAATAAATACGGTTTTAGTTAAAGTTCATAGGTATTAATTTAGTGATCGTTCAAAGTTACATTACTGAAAAAAGTGACCTATGACCATTTTTCACACTTACAACCATAGCAGCATCCCCATGACCAAAATTCAGATATTTGGCAACTGACTCATATTTATGATGGTTACAATGTCCAGGGGTGATGGGATCACTTTTTGCAACTTTCTGATAAAGTCAATGGGGAAACCAGTTTCACTTAACAACTGTGTTGCTAACTTACCAACTGCAGTGATTCACTTAACAACTGTGGCAAGAAAAGTTGGTAAAATGGGGTAAAACTCACTTAACAAAGATTTCACTTTGCAACAGAAATTTTGGGTTCAATTATGGTCATATGTTGAGGCCTACCCCTGGAGAAACTGAGAATGGAACAAGCTTTCTTTGCCTTTGATTTCAAGAGCTCAGAAAAGGTCCTTAGATATTTTCCCTAGATATTTTTATTATCACAAAAAATATCACATCTCTATCAGGCCTCTCTTTTCCTCTCCTAAATTTAAGTGTACATCCCTTAATTAGTTATTGCTGTGGAATAATATTTAATGTCGATTTGTCATTTTATTTTTAAAATCAAATCTAAATAAATGCTATAAAAGTACAACTCACTATATTTTACTTTAAAGTGTTAAACTCTCCCACCCATGGAATCAATTGTGGCATTCTTTGACTTCTATTCAAGTGATACATGTCTATTTTCCGACAAGCTCATCGTTCCTGCTGAAAGAACCATTTGCCAAACTTGAAGGGTGTGGTTTTGGTCAGGCAGATGTTTCGGCATCCCATGGGAAACTGACTCGCTTTCTAACCCTATGGGATAAACCCACTTGCATTTTCTCTTACAGTTTTTCATCCCCCACCCACTCACCCTGAATAACACAGCTCATTTGCAAATCACATTTCTTGGCTTCAGAATTTGCAGGGGGGGGGGGGGAAGCAAGAACGAAGCAAAGTGACAGAGGCTTTTATTTAAAAAAAAAACTTTTTTAAACCAGAAAGGCAATGTATCTTTTTCTCCTACCAGTACTCTGCTCCCCTCAGACTCTTAATCTAGTATTCGCTATTACATTTCATTAATGAAAACCTCATGTCACATTAGTCACTTCCTGGAAAAGTGTGTATATTAAGT